ACAGAAGATGACGGAGAAGATGAAGATGAAGATGACGGAAGATGACGGAGAAGATGAAGGACAAAAAATGACGGAGAAGATGAAGATGAAGATGACGGAAGATGACGGAGAAGATGAAGGAATGAAATAAGGGTTTTCGTCGATTTTGGGATTATACAAGAAATAGAGAAAGGGTAATTGTGTCTTTTCCCCCTTAGTAGTGGCTATTTTTGATAAGCATTTTAAATAGTGGATAAAAATTAAATACACCCTTATTTAGTGGCTACTACACGCCATTTTCACNTCACCCACATGTATATACTGGCCCAATTACAAGCCCAAATGCTCATAAGCCCAAATTGGAACAATTTCATAATGACAAACAAATCCCCATTTATCCCTTCTCTCTCATTTCTAAAACCCTCAAAAACCCCGTTTGTCCATTTCCTCGGCAACCCCACCCCCCAACCCCTACGCCCGGCCGGCACCATCTCCTTCTCTACACCAAAGTAGAGCAAAAGCGATATCCGGGTTCTTAAAAAGCTGCATGCTTTTTCCGAATTCGTTTGCATTAGGATTTTGCATAAGCTCAAGTTGAAATTCTTGATATGAAAGCCTTAAGATTTTTTAGGACATTGAACTCTTCAAATCCAAGCAAAACCCATTTTAATTCAACCATTTTTCGTCGCCTTTACTCAGCCCAACCTCAAGAAGACCACCCAACAAGCACTGGTCTTTCTTCCTCTGAAGAAGATGACACGTCATCATCCTCAGTCTTCGACAGTTCCCAATACGATGTAGAATTAAACAATGATGTTAATTCAGGAAACAGTGTAAGCAGCAACAGCTCCACTTGGGACGAGAAGTATAGAGAAAGAGTGAAAGATAATGTCTTTGGTGAAAAAGACCCTTCAGAGATTAAGAGTACACGAATCTTGATTAAAGAAGAGGAGAAGAGAAGAAGAGCTGCTTTATTGGCTAGGAGTCTTCTAGAAGCTGCACTTGATGAAAAGGGAGATGAAGAAGATAAAGGGTATGATGAGGTGGTGAAGGAAGAAGATCAAATGTCATTGAGTGTTGGAATTATTGGAGCTCCCAATGCTGGCAAATCTTCATTGACCAATTATATGGTTTGACGTCTTTTCTGTATAAATTCCCGTGCTTTAATATTATTGGTGTTGTTGGTTATATACTTATATGAGTATAGTGATGACTAATTTGCTAATGTTAGCTAAAATGGATGAAATGTTAGATATATGGAGATGCAGGCTTAGAGTTTTCATTCTGCTTTCCTTATTTCAGTGGAGATCCAAGCTAATTCAAAGAAGAAAGAAACCTAATGAAAGCTAGAAAAAGCACAAGGCTTTCCTGCTGAATGATATACTGGTGGTTAATGCTGATTAGGGCAAATGACATGCTTTGGTACTTTTAGATTATTTTGTCTTCCTAAGTATATAAAATTTTGTACATACAATGAGGTTTTTCAACTACATGGTTCGATGACTCTTCTTGATAAATTTCCATGCTTTATTGTTGCTGTCGGTTATATGAGTATAGTGATGACTAATTTGCAAGTATTAGTGGTAATTGCTGATTAGGGCAATCATATGCTTAACAAATTTTCCCTTGTTCTGTTGCTGAAAATATATAAATTTGTTTATCATACAATTAGTATTTTCAAGTGCATAGTTCGATGACTCATCTTGATAAATTTCCATTATCTTCGTTGTTGGTTATATGAGTATAGTGATGACTAATTTGCGAATATTGGTGGTCAATGCTTATTAGGACAATCACATGCCTAAGTACTTTTACCTTGTTCTGTTGCTGAACATATATTTTTTGAATAAAAACCTCAACTAGTATGAGATTGAGGCTTTGTTGCTGTTGTATTCGCGATAGAGTATGCCCTATGAAGCTGTTATAGCTCTTATTTTACCCAAAACAGAATGTTATTATGTTCTTATTGGCAACTAATCCCTGCAGTAGTCTTTTTGCTGTTTGTTGTCTGTCTTACCTCTTTTTCTTTCTGTAGGTTGGGACCAAAGTTTCTGCTGTATCACGGAAGACGAATACCACTATTCATGAAGTCTTAGGTGTGATGACTAAAGGAAAGACACAAATCGTAAGTGTACTTAGAATTACTAGGTTTCAGTTTCTCTCTTTTTCTCTGGTTGTTGACCTTCGTTCTTTTTCTTAGCTTGAGATGCATCTATTTGCCAAAATGAACTTTAGTGTCCAACATGACCATATATAAAGCTGTTAAACCATTTTTTGTCACATTTTGGTGACTAAATTTTACCCCCCTATGACACTGAAGTCACATAACTATTTTTTGTCACATTAAAGTAACTGAACCGTGTGTGAATCTCTCAGAAATACTAATGACCGAAAGGTCAAATTTTCGGCTCACAAATACAAATGACCGAAAGGTCAAATTTTCGACTTAGAAAATGCAAATGACTGAAGAAAAAAACTCACCTTGTAAAAGTTCGACTACCCATATTTAAAACAAAAGACAACTAATCAAATATTTAAAAAGAAACGATTACTTGGTTTTGGAAATTTAACGTTCCATTCATTTGTATTTTCAAAGCAATTCACACATAATTCACTAGAATCAGTTTTGAGATTTTATTGTTACTGTGAGTAAAGTTTAGTTACTTTGATGTGACAAAAAGATAATGTGACTTTACGAGGGTAAAGTTCAGTAACCACACGTGAAATTAACTCACTAATTGATCGAAAAAGTATTTTTCTTGGAGTAAGATTACAATCACAGTTTCTTAAGATTAATAAATGTCAGTTATTTGATTAAGCTGACACAAGCTTGATTCAGCCATCATTCTTTTTGAAAAGGGAATATTTACTCTTACAGTTACATCGAACGTCTTTTTTTTTTTTTTGAGAGAAATGATTGTACATCAAATGTCTTATTTACAGAACTTTTTATTTATTTTTCCTTTTTGAACAACTTTTATTTATTTAAAGAGAAGCCTTACACAAAAGAGGAAAGAAGCAAACTACAAAGTATGACTAATAGTGAAAAATGTCGGACCTCATCTGCTAATCTTGCAGGTTGAAGTGTATTTTGTGCATCTAAATATTGAGGGAAAAAAAAAAAGTTATTTTTTGCTGGAGTAATCCTTTTCTTAGATGTCAAGACCTTTTTTGGGTTTGCTACATATTTGATGGATTCTTTTACAGTGTTTCTTTGATACTCCTGGGCTTATGCTAAAGAAAAGTGGATTTCCCTACAAGGACATGAAAGCACGTATTGAAAGTGCATGGAGGTCTATTAATCTATATGATGTACTGATTGTCATATTTGATGCTCATAGGCATCTTACCAAGTTAGTTTTTTTTCTTTACTTGACTCCAAAACTCCATCTTCTATATTTATTGTAATAATTATATGCTCCATCTCATGATATTTTATATGCATAACTTTTATCAATAATTACCTGTGAGAAATAAGTTACTAATGGAAGGAAAAAAATTATGGCAAAATGTGCTTTACTTTTTTAGTATGGATATGTTTATTTCTAATCTTCAGATTTTCATTCATTACCCCGAGTTCATAGAAAAAGGTAGATTTGGTTTTCCATTTCTTTAATGAAATGGAGATGCTGTTCAATACTGGCAGTCCTTACCCTAAGGATGCACACACTTATTGGCTTGTATCTTTGGTCTAGATACCTCTCTGATTGGTGCATTAGCCCATATAAATTTTCAATCACCTTTTTTGATCAGTAATAAAGCAAACAGTTCCCTGCATAATGTTGCATTCACCAATACCAATATAAGGTACAAGTCAATTGACATTTTAAATTTGGTGCAGAGCTAATTGTTGTCACATAATATAGGGCGGAGAGAGTAGAATTTCTTGATGATGATGCACATCATCTGACATGCTCCAACAAATGGGGCTTTTCTCCTCGCATATTTTTTCCCTCTGTAAATAAGATTTTTATTAATGAAACAGAAGGCATTTAGGAGTTGCATGCAAAGATTTGTCATTGCAGATTTCCATTTAAAAGCATTTCTTAAATCATTCAGTGTTGTCAAAGGCACGCTTAAGCCCTGAAGCGAGGCTCAAAACATGTTGAGCTCTTCGCCTCGCTTTGTGGGCGCTTTAGTATCGCATCAAGTCTCTTCTTAGGCATACTTTTACTTGCCAATGAGTGTAATCCTGAAAAGGCAACATTAAACAATTGATATTTCACTTTATCGTAATTTTTTTCCATTTTTTTGTCTATATATTTGTTATTCATGCTTATTATTATTAGTCTTAGACTACATATACATATTTTTACTTTTTCTCCAGTTGCACCATTTTTTTTATATTAAAGCTCACTCTTTATTTGCGCTTTGCGCTTAAAGCTCCAACGGACCTTAGAGTTTTTTTTGCGCTTTTCACCTTTGATAACGCTGGATTTACCAATATGAAAGTAAAGATATATATTATTGGATTATAGCTTCTGAAAAAGATTCTCATTGAGACATGAAATTTCAAGGGATAGATCTCCAATAATAATGAACCTCTGAAATTATAGTTTAGGTTTACTAATATCATTGGTGTTTAACAGATAGTTTGTTTAACAAAATTGTAACACTGTAAATCCTAACAAGTTAAACTGCTTGAACAACTCTACATGCACTCTGGCATAGTGGTCAATAAAGTGGCAAAGGCTCTGGTAGACCAGGGTTCAAGTCCCAGAAAAGACAAATGTTAACTCTAGGTGATTTCTTAGTGGGCAGAGCTACCAGTACAATTACTGGTGGAAAGTAGCAAGTACCGGGTGGATTAGTCGAGGTGTGCGCAAGTTGGGCCGCAAACTACAATAAAAACTATTCAATAAAACAAACTAAGTGGAACAACCGTACTTGTGATTGTTGAGGTGAAAAGGTGATGGCACGGATAATGTTGCTTTGGAAATTTTGAGAGGTAGAAGGCTGTATAATTGCTTCATAGAGGTGAGATCAGAGTTCCAGAAATGAAAATCAGACTGAAATACATCAATGATGTGATACCATTGTTTTCCACAGCTGAAGGAAGGAAACTATGTTCCCATTTCAAATCTTTCAGCACTTTAAGTTTTTTGAGGGTCAGCGGACCAATTTCGGTGAATTTTGTTACTTTAAGCTTTTTAACGGTCTTTGAGCAACTCTGCATCGAAATTTGACTTGGATAAAGTTCTTATATGCTGGTCAAGGTTGATTGTTGAAGTAATCTTATGGTCCAAGTAAAAGTCTTGTCAAATTTGACTTCTGGGCTCATTTTGACCAAAGTTATTTTGGTTTTTGCTCAAGGGGAAGCTTGTCTCCCTATGCAAAAACATGGGTTCAAGTCGTGTGTTATTATAAACCTAGATAAACTTCTCGCTTTTAAAGAGCAGGCTGCCACTTGAGATAGAAATGTGAGACCTTCCAAGATTTTTGCTGAGATAGAAATGTGAGGACTTCCATTTTGGTTATTTGTAGAGTATGTGACACATAGAGTGGGTTTCCTTTCTTCTGTGTAGTCAAACACGATGTGTTATTTTCCAAATGTCTGTCCCTAATTTCTCAAGTTGGAGTGCCATTTATGTTTATGTAATCCTTCTTTCCCTTTTGTCTTTGGAAATACAATTTTTAACTTGCAAACTCCAATCTGGAGTTATGAAATTATTCTCTATAGCTTTGTGCTTGCTAAGTGTCAGGTTTTCCTATCTTCGTATTTGTATATATGCTAACAGAGCTCCAAATATTGAGATTGTGGTGTGAACTGTAAATTTCTGGATCCTTTAACCCAAATGAGAGGCTTTGGAATTTCTTTTGCCTGGATCACCTTAAGTAGCTCTGCACAGTAAACGTAGGTATAGGTTTCCATGTTAAAGTGAACTTATCGAGGAAAAAAAATGTTTAGAGTGGAGTGAATGGTGTATATATGAATGTATCTATAGCACTGAGTAGATTCATCAGAACTTTGCATGCATGATTTCTTCAGTCTAATTCGTTGAAATAGATGTTTCCGTAACATTTTACCATACAAATGTATAGGCCTGATTCCAGAGTTGTGAGGTTGATTGAGAGAATGGGTTCTGAGGTTAACCCAAACCAGAAACGTTTACTGTGTATCAATAAAGTTGACCTTATCGAGAAGAAGAAAGATATATTGAAAGTTGCTGAGGAATTCAAAGAACTTCCTGGATATGAGAGGTAACCTTTTACTTCTCATAATGTGGTATTTCACTATCCCTTATTCAATTTAATTGAGATTAAAGCTCAATATGGTGTGTGCTTTCTTGATCTCTCATTTGTAGGTGTTTTACGATATCGGGACTAAAGGGAGCTGGAGTGAAAGATCTAACACAATACTTGACGGAGCAGGCATGTTTTATGTATGAGGCTGCGTGTGTGTTGGGGGGGGGGGTTACCTTTCTGTATGTTAGTAAATGGTGCATTCTAGGCATTTGAGCTGGTTAAGTATACAAGTCTATTGTGGTTGTGGCTTTTGCTTCCTTGTGATTTGATCTTAGAAGTTTTCTTTGTCTACATCTTGATTAAAGAGAATGCAACATGAAAAATTTCAAATGATGAACTTCCATAACATTTAATACCCTACCCTTCCACCCCAAACTCTCTCTCTCTCTCTCTCTCTCTCTTTTCAATGAGATATCCCCTGTTCTAATATTGGAAAATTAATATGTTCAGAAAAATGTTTCTTGAGATGCCAATCTTCCCTCCCAGTCCTCCAGCTCCCAAAGAGATGCTGATGATTAATTATTTTATTGAAGGTGATCCTTTTGCTTTTAATGATGGAATTTGGGTAATATTGTTGTTTTGGGAGGTCTTATGTGCATGGCATGTACTGGAGCCTCTATGTTGCTGGACCGCTGAAAGGCTGCATACCTTGTCAGGCGTGAACTCCTTGACATGAGCAAGGAATTCAATATCTCTAATCTCTCGGGGAAAAAAGAGATTAGAAATTCCCAGATTATATGGTTATATACTTCCATTTAACCTGAACCTAATACATCATATTCTTCTTTTTTGACGAGTGTGGATGCCATTATGTTGTGACATCTGTAGTGTGATCAAGTTTTTTCTACTTCGAGCTTGTGAGTTTAGATGCCTACTTTGGTTTTGTGCAGGGCAGTACACGTCTTGCTATATATTAAAGCGCATTGCATTAGTGAACTCCAGTTGGTTTACTTGTCAGCCTCATCATCATGTCGATACACTCCCCCACCCCCCACCCCTCAAAAAATAAAACACACCCTTTTCTCCCCTCTTTACTGCAGGCACTACTCTGTAAAAGAGGGTGCATAGCTATGGGTTGCTTTGTTGTTTCTCATATATGTTATTGTACATGTGTGAAGTTAAGAGGTTCTTTTCGTTGCTCTATTGTTTGCTTTGACCTTTCTGTTAATGCATTCATCTCCTTTCAGTGACGAAACTGGATGCTTAGTCTCATAATCTGTCTTCTTAGTGCCTCATTTGTATTCCGTGTTGTTTGTTATGATTAGGCAGTGAAAAGACCATGGGATGAAGATCCACTTGTCACGAGTGAAGAAGTTATGAAGAATATTTCAATGGAAGTTGTCAGGGAAAAGTTGCTACATTACATACATCAGGTATTCCATCGTCTTGTTTGTACACTTAAACAGGATGTGCTTTCTTTGACCAGCAGGGGGACAAAGATAAGCATGAAAATGACCTGCTAATTTGTCTATTTAGGAAATCCCGTATGGCATTGAACATCGCCTGATGGACTGGAAGGAGTTACGTGATGGTTCCCTAAGAATTGAACAGCATTTGATCACTCACAAGATAAGCCAACGCAAGATTCTCGTAGGAAAGAATGGTTCCAAAATAGGGTAATGTTCTTTCAGATACAGTTTCCCAATTATTTCATTAATACTAAAAACATGAAGTAGCTGTGGATGACTTCTCTGCTTAATATCTGGGCCAAAACAGAGAACATGATGGGCTGCACAATGTCTTATTGCTTATAGAAAGCATAGCTTTTATTTTTGTTTAGGCAAAGTGCCGTTTAACATGAATGATCTCGCTTGGGCAAAGTTGTATTGCTATAACGTTGTATATCTGTTAATTTGGTGCAGGAGAATAGGTATCGAGGCAAATGAAGAGTTAAGATCGATATTCAAGAGAAACATCCATCTAGTTCTTATGGTTAGAGTGAAATCATGAGATCAAAGACCATGTCCTTGTTTTGCATGTATATATAAGAGAGGTCTCCAGTTTTTTGTCCTTTTACCAAAGCAATTGTGAGTTGACACAACAATCTTCCAAAGCATATCATATTATGTTGTTCCGATACAAAATATGGAGAAGTTCAATTTCCCTTGTATTTGAATACATTCATATTCTTTTGCTATAGATTTAAGGACAAAATTTAGGCATTGTATTCGTGTTGGATTAAGGGTACAATACTCTTTCCACTAGAGTAAGATTGGGTGTCCTGTTAGTTCAATTGCATTAATAAATTTGAGCCCCAAGTTCTATTGCCTTAGCTGAGCTATGTACTTTCTGTTTAAAATTCTTACAATATATTTGAATTCCTTAAATTGTTTCATTTTCACCTCTGTACTTTCTGTTCTTACTCCAATTCTTCCTTATTTAGACTCTACCTAATCGAAATTAGTTACGATACCTTTTGTTACCAGCCAAACATGCTGATGCTTACATGGTAATGGTGAAAATGGTCATAATATACATATCCTTACTAGTATTCTTCTAGATAATGTAGGATTGATTGAGGTGTGATAATTTTGGACCAAAAAGAAGAACAGTTTACTCTTTATGAGAAAAAATTACTCTACTACTTATATTGTAATGGAAAAAATAGTTTTTGTCATTTTGAGCTAATAAATACTCCCTCCGGTCCTTTAATCTTTCACTTAATAAAATAAATTGGTCCACAAAATATTTCAAGATTAATGTTATTACATGATTTTTTTAATGAATATGCTAAGACTTTATTCAAAAAGGAGGGAGTATTGTCTTAGCAGATCGGTAGACTCATTTGAGAGGCCATTTTTCCTTAGCATTCTTCCGGGAAAAATTCAAAAATAGCCAAATTTATAAGTGTTCATTTAAAATTAGTCACAGTTTCAAAAGCAATCGAAATTTAGCCATTTTCATATAAAATTAAATATGAACGAAAACACTGTTCAAAATTCAAAAAATACTCCGGTATAATATACTGGACTTCCAACATAATATACTGGAGTTCCAGTTGAATATACCGGTCCAGTGTAATATGCTGAAAGTTCATACACATGCTCCAATCTCCAGTATATTATGCTGGAACCTTCCACGTGTTGGAGTTCCAGCATAATATGCTGGAAGTTTCATACACAGGTGCACGATCTCCAGTATGTTATGCTGGAACTTTCCGTGTTGCAGCAAAATAGTGGCTATTTTTCAATGACCAGTCCGAAAACTAGCTAACCTCAGCTATTTTTACCATTCTTCCATGTCCCACGCAATTATTTTGGTAAAAAATACTTGGATATTTTCTTGAATTGTGTCGCGTCCGCAACAAATCCAATTCTTTTAAAAAAGAACCTAAATCACATCGCGCAGCAAACCGCTAAATCATGTGAACGTGATTTCTCGCTTATCATGAGTTTGATCACTCATTGTGCACTTGAGAATTGTGTTTCTATTAAGGGGAATGCTCCACTTGAATTAAAAGTTATAAATATAATTTTATACTTCTTAAAATCAATAATAGATGTCTTTTAGCCAAATAAGAAATACAGTCAAGTAGTTGCAGTTTCACATTTTGGAAAGAAAATGTCTTATTAGCTAGCCTCTATTTCCAACGTAGATTCTTTCAGCCTACTTTAGTGTTGTAATGAAATTATTCATCGTCCTACAAATACAGTATTACTACCAATTTCCAAGATTTATATGGACCAACCTAGGAATGATCGAAACTAGTTAGGTGAAGAGATAAATAAATGTCAGAACAAAAATTATACTTTTGGAGTATAAGGATATTTAGAAAACAAGCATGAAGTCTCGTCTTTTACGTTTAGGAAGCAATTATAGTATTTAGCAGTCCTCAGCACTAATGATATCATTTATTTGAAAAACAAATCAATCAGAAGCTTATTTCATTTAATTAACTTGTTTCATTTATAAGATTGAAAATTAATTTTCTTATAGCGATGAGGTTAGACGTGGCAAAAAAAACAAACAAACAAGAAATACATCTCTGCAGAAGATCTATAAGGGCAAAGCAAATTCTTCTCCATGGTATGAAATTTTCTAAACCTTATTATTGTTCTCGGTAGTTATTTAGTTTACTGTTGCTGGTATTATACTAGTACTATTTACTACTGTTACAATACATGAGAAAATGGGAGTACAGTTTTTAAGTAGTTTCAAATTAAAGATGATTAAAAAAAAACTACTGTAAATAATTGAAAATGACGAGAGAACCTTTTCAAAGTCGTCCTAAGGCAGCTAGTTAATCTTCTATGCGTTGTTGATTGAATTATCTCATTATTAAGTAGTTTTCATCTACTATAAAAAAGAATTGTAAACTGAAAAGTGATCAAGTAAAAATAAATACCTAAGTGAATAGATGAGTTTGTTATTGTTGCTGAACTATTATAGCAGAGTAAACTCTTTCTTTTGCTAGAAAAAGGAAATTATCTTTTTATAAGTTGTAAATTCAAAATCTACAGGTCTATTAGCCTAAATGGAAAACTGTTACTATCATTTAGAAGGTTTGAAATCATGCAAGAAAATGCTCTTGGATTAGTAACGACCACCACAGCAAAAAAAGGTCATGACCTCAATTGTTTTGAGTTACAACAACAACACATACCCAGTGGGGTCTGAGGAGGGTAGGGAGTACGCAACTTGGTAGACAAATTGTTCTATTTTTTAAAAACAAAGTTAAACTTGTCAATTGAGAGGAAAACAACTAATCAGTCCAAAAACTCATAATAAGCCAATTAGAGTAATTAAGAGTACAAACTTCTTAGTTATATATAACTGAAGGAGCAGTCACTAAAATTAAGACACAAAATAAAATAACCAAACAACTTACTACTATTCATAGTACTAATACTGCTACTCCACTTGAAACAGTTTAACAATCAGTTGAAAGACTGAAAGGGCAATGTCAACTGATCAAGAAGTGCACTAATAGGTGCAGCAAGTCTAGGATCATAACCAAATCCATGCAATTCCCCTCCAAATTCTGATCCATAATTACTAACACCATAATCCAAATTATTATTTCCCACAAATGGACAAGGAGGAATCCAAATCCACCTCTTCTTGCAAAAGTCAAACAGCAATGCCTTATCTGAATTCTTTATAATTATGACCACAAATTGTCCATGACCAACACAATTAAACCCTTGACCATTTTCCACTTCTGCAAATTGTACATAGAGTTGTTGTGGCATTCTCTCTATTTCCACCCACATTGTCCCACAATCTTGCAATGCCCATAGCCTTAAACTCCTTGGCACATTCAGTTTGCTTTTCTCAACTGCTGCAACCAAAACAAGCCTCCCATTTCCTTCTACTAAGCATGGCGAACGTAGAAATCGTCGCATGGGTGCTTGAATTTTGCACCAATTGTTAGTAGCAATGTCATAGGAAAGTACACTAAAAGGGCTGAAATTCATGCAATAAAATCTGCCCTCAACATGCACCATTTTCCCCGATTCAAAGCTGCATAATCTTGGAAGTGAAGAAGTTGTACCCCAGATTGAGTAAAATCCATTCCCGTCAATGTGAAATGATTCAGTGGTTAAATTCTTAACAGCATAAGGAGATATTAAATCATCTCCAGCCACAGCTAAATCAATTGATGAGTTAGTTATAGTTAAACCAATAGAAGGGAATAACCTAGGCCTTAAAGTTGGTGGCAAAGGAATCATAGATCCCACAAGAGGATTACACAAAAGGATATTTTTAGATCCAGCTTCATCTGAAACAAAGCAAATTAATCCACCAGAAGATGAAACAGGAGAAAACCCTTGTGGGATTAAAGCAAAGGAAAGCCTAAACCAAGAAAGACTATCAGGATCAAAGAGGTAACCTTCAACTCTATGATCAGAGGTACCAGAAGCATTACTACTGTTCTTGTAAATATTGTTTCTTGGGATTTTTTGCCTGAAGAAAATGAACCAATGGCGCTGAGGGGAAATTTGGAGGTACAATTCAAGAAAAGTGCTAGAATAAAGAAGGGCATAAAATCTTTTACAAACAGCTCTAGCTCTAAAAAAAGCAGGTGGCGGAAGAAAAGCAATGATCCTATCAATTAGTCTATGTGGAAGTCTGCTCCAAATTCTAGCATCCATCCAAGGGCTACCATTTATTGATGGATTTGGTGGAGTTCCAAGAAAATTTGTTGTTGGTGTTGGGATAGGAAAAGCATAGGGAAAGTGAAAGCTAATAGGTACATGAAAAGCTTCCATTTTTTTTTCTTTTGTGTACCAAAAGGGATTCTGAATTTTGCCTTCAAGTTTGGAGCTAAGAGAGACTACAGCGTAAAGGGAAAGTTAAGGTTTTAGTTTATAGCTAACAATCAAGAACTAGGGGTTTGTTTTTCTTTCTCAAATTCAGTGGAAGATATAAGGAGCTAGAGAGTTTCACTAAAGAGGAAGAAAATGAGGAAAGAGATATGAGATCTTGGCAGAAAACTAAACAAAACTAGGAGAGAAGTCTCTTTTTGGCCTCTCTGTTTGTCTTTCGGATTCTTGGTTTGTTTTGGGAGAGGGAAACAAGTGTTTATATAGAAAAGTTGCAGCCTTTTTTTCCATCATTTTTTATTTTGTAAATTGTTTTTTGCATTTTGCAGAGAGAAAAGGAGAAGTGGAAGTCATGTTTTGATGGATACATCTATCATTTCAGTGCTTTCTTGTCAATTGGCCGAGGAAGGAAGGACAGTCAGCAGACTGCAGTTCAACAGACAACCAGACAACACACACATACACCCACAAGGAAATATTGGGATTTTATCTTCTTTTATAGGGAATTTGATCTTCCTTTATGTGTGGTTCTTTAGCCTTCTTATTATTTTCCTTGTGGATTTAAGTTATACTTTTGAATAGTGTAAAAAAAAGGTTGCACTCGCTCTGTTCCAGTCTACGCGAACCTATTTTTTTTTTGTCCGTTCCAAAAAGAATGACTAATTTCTTAATTTGGTAACAATTTAAGTTAAACTTACAATTCTACCCTTAATGAGAAGCTTTTATAACCACACAAATATTTTGGACCACTTTTTGACTTATTTAGAACCACAAGTTCCAAAAGTCTTCAGTTTTTTAACTTTGTGCCCAAGTTCACATAAATTGGAACGGAGAGGGTATTATTAAAGTGCAAGTTAACCTTTGTACCATGCATATTGATTATATATTACTACTATTTTTATCAAGTCATCAATTACTTAATATTTATTATTGATGTTTTATATGTAACTTAAATGTGTAAATATTTTATATATCGTCTATACATACAACGTTAGTTTTTTTAATTTTTCGTTTAATACCTCAAACGTGCGTAGTGTTTGAAGACTAATTAAGTTGTATAGCCATATATATAAAGAAAAGACAAACTACGAAAAGTTTTACTTGAGTGGTAGTCTAGACCACAAGTACGAAGAAAGACAGAATTCGTGCTAGATCTTCTTTTATTTATTAACTAACGAATAAGTACACACTAATATATTCTTGAGCGTTTTTCCCTTAAACGAGCCCCATCATGCCAATTTATACTAGTTGAGCTAGTGGATTCTAAATGTCAAATGGTTAAAGAAAACTAAAAGTATTAAAGAGAGTTTACGAGTACACAACCTTAGAGACCAAGAATTTCGTAGTTATATATATTCAACTGAATTTAAGTTACATATATTAATAGGATAATTTTTTTAATCTATCAATATAGTATAATTTGTAATAATTGATTGTTTGCCTTTTTTACTAGGTTATTGGTTAATATTTATTATAATATTTATTTATAATTACCTTGTAAGTGTCCTGATAGTATAAATCATTTTTACATCGTTAGAGCATATATAGCTTAAAATCTCTTTTAATTCCGTTCGTCTATTTAGTGTTTGTGCTTTGCATTATATTTACTGCTTTACGACAGACATGCATGAGATTTAATTACCAAATAAAATGATTCATAATGGTGCAATATGTAATTTTGTTGGCGATATAAATCTTATAAGGCTTTACAGAAATAATTTGTCCTTCAATCCATAATTTTATCTTTTGCATATAATATATATTTGCTTTACTATTTCGTCCTGCTGGTCTTTAGGCTTGTCGTATTGTTTCTCCTTTTTGGAGGGGGAGGTGTCCAAGGAACTTCCAGCTTCCTTATAAAGTTGCAATTTATTAGGAGTACCTTACTTTTTTAGTGGCATGACATGAGTGAAGACGAAGATATTAAATTTGCATACAGACCAATAAATGAAGAGAAGCTAAACTACAAAAGAGCTCTTACTTAAGTTATAGTCTTTGACCAAGACTTTGTTACTATAAGTTTGTCCAAGGTTTCCAAAACTTTGAGTCTTAATGAATTGGGTACATGCTGGGTTTCAACCTAATCAAAAGCTTTTTGGACAAATATAAAATTGTTCAGTTGAAATTAATTGCATTCGTTAGCCAAACAAATATAAAATATATGTATTTTTTTTGGTAATTGTGCATTTTATTTACCAGGGGAAAAAGTGTACAAACAAAATAAGACCCAAAATGTGTGTGTGTATTATATATAGAGTGCTTGATTATTCCTTCAAGTTGTTGGGTTTAAATAACCTTTGACAGAAATACTAATAAGGAAAAACTACAATTACAAGCCTACAAAATCTCCTAATTACTTAATTATAGGGATTTGTGTGATTACAGGGATTTGTGTATCTTTTCATAATTATATAATATCAATTCTTGCCATATTTAACATTCCCCCTCAAACTGGAGCGTACAAGTCATATGCTCCTAGCTTGCTACAGATATCGCCAATTCTGGATCCTCAGAGAGATTTTGTGAGGACATCTGCTAGTTGGTCTTTTGAGTTGACAAAACTCGTAACAATGCACCCGAACTCAATCTTTTGTCGAATGAAGTGCCAATCTACTTCAATATGCTTCGTTCTTTCATGAAATACTGGATTTGAAGCGATATATAATGCGGTTTGATTATCACAAATCAATTTCATCGGCTCGTCCCTTCCGATCTTTAACTCCTGTAGAAGTTGCCTTAGCCATATAAGCTCGCAAGTAGCCAATGCCATATCCCGATATTCTGCCTCTGCGCTTGACCTAGCTACCACATCTTGCTTTTTACTTTTCCAGGATATTAGGTTGCCTCCAGTTAAAATACAATAACCTGAAGTGGACCGTCTATCAGAGGGAGAACCTGCCCAATCTGCATCAGAATACTCAACAATGTCTGCATGTCCCATGTTTTCATACAATAAACCTTGTCCCAGAGAACCTTTGACATATCTTAGGATGCGAATTGCTGCATCCCAATGACTGTCACAAGGTGACTGGAGAAACTGGCTAACCACACTTACAGTAAATGAGATATCAGGTCTCGTGATCGTAAGATAGTTGAGTTTGCCAACAAGTCTCCGATATCTTCCTTGATCTTTTAGAGGTTTCCCTTGTCCTGGAAAAAGTTTAGTATTTGGATCCATGGGACTGTCCACAGGTTTACAGTTCGACATACCAGTGTCTTCCAAAATATCCAAGGCATACTTCCTTTGTGAGATGACAATGCCGCTTCCAGATTGTGCCACCTCAATGCCTAGAAAATGTTTTAGTTTTCCCAGATCTTTAGTCTGGAATTGACTTGAAAGATGCTACTTAAGTTGGATAATACCTTCATGATCATCACCTGTGATGACAATATCATCAACATAAACAATTAGAAAGATACATTTGCCATGAGATGAAAGCCTATAGAATACTGAATGATCAGCTTCTGTTCGGGTCATTCCAAATTGTTGGACAACAGTTCGGAAACGGTCAAGCCATGCCCTAGGAGACTGCTTGAGACCATAAAGAGATCGACGAAGTCGACAGACTAATCCGGACTCCCCCTGAGCAACAAACCCTGGTGGTTGATCCATATATACTTCTTCAACAAGTTCTCCATGAAGAAATGCATTCTTAATGTCCAACTGAAAAAGAGGCCAATGATTTATCGTTGCCAAAGAGATAAGAAGACGAACACATGTCATCTTTGCAACTGGTGAAAAAGTATCACCATAATCAATGCCATACACCTAAGTATACCCTTTAGCAACCAGTCTTGCTTTAAGGTGATCAACCTCTCCATTTGGACCTACCTTAACTGTAAACACCCATCAACAACCAACTGTGGTTTTCCCTTTAGGTAAAGGGACTATCTCCCAAGTACCGTTATCGTGCAAGGCAGTCATCTCTTCAATCATAGTCTGACGCCAACCTGAATGGGCCATTGCTTCTTATACAATCTGTGGAACCTTGACGGTGGATAAGCTAGTAATAAAGGCATGATATGAAGGTGATAAACGATGATAACTTAAAAAGGTATAAGAGGGAGTTTGATTGGCAGTAGTTCTAGTAACTTTTCGTAGAGCAATGGGGAGATCAGTAACATTTGATGAGTGCTCAACCGAAGCATGAGATATTGCTGGAGAAGGCAATGAGTCACCCGATGGGCTTTGTGTACCTGCATTAGGATCAGAAGCATCGACTGGATTAGTAGGTTGAGAATTAGGTCGAGGACGTCTAGAATAGACTTGGAGTGGTGGAGTTTGAGTTGGAGCTGGAGTTGGAATAGTCTAGAATATATATCTAAATAGGCTATCATTTTTTTAGACCAACTAAAACTTGTATATTTCTCAATTTTTTTTAGAAAAAGGCTTGGGATGTTTTTATGCCCCGTACTAGGGGTGGCAAACGGGCGGGTTGGGTGGGATATGGGACGACTCGAAAATGGATAAATTATTCGACCCGACCCATATTTATTACGGATAAAAAATGGGTTAACCGGCGGATAATATGGGTAATTAACCATATTATCCATGGCTTCATGAATATGATCAATTTTGGGAGAATTCCTAGTCTCCCAAATTTTAGGAACCCCCAATTTGAGGTTTTACAAATGTAAAAGTTAAACCCATTATTTATCCATTGATTATCCATTTTCTAAATGGATAATATGGTTCTTATCCATATTTGACTCATTTTTAAAAAGTTCACTATTCAACCCATTTTTTAGTGAATAATATAGATGGTTAATTGTTTTCTTTTAATCATTTTGTCACCCCTAACCTGTACAAATATTTTTGTCAAACTAAGGAACTTAGTGTGAAAAACTATACTCCCTCGGTTTCAGAAAGAATGAATATATTTCTATTTAAGGAGTCAAACAAGATTTTTTTGACCATATTTTTTGCAAATAATTTAAAATATTTTAAATTGTTACTATTGTGACTTATAACACTTTTTATGTAATTTCTAAATATGTAAATTTTATTTCAGAAAATTTAAAGAATTTATGCACGAATTCAAATCGAAAAATTAGCCAATGTAATTCTTGTACTCCGAAAAGATTAGAAAAAATTTAACATAGGGGTATGTCTTAAAGACTAGAACTAATTTAAGAACGTTGCAATCTTTGTCAAGCTTTTTGATATCTTTAAATCATCTATATGATATTAAATAAGA